TACATGTTAAAAACAATGTGTTATACACTGTCTTGTGAAATTTTACATTTAGTCTGATTGGTGTACACAGGATTGAGACCAAAATGGTCAAGGAAGAAGGGGTCCCATATGCTCAGAGGAAGAAGAGAGAGCTATCGTAAACATAGATTTGACCAATAATCTGATACGCCTCAGAGAAATTCAAGTAAACACCCCTCTCAACACTGGGGTGAATCCTTAAAACACATCACATACTGATAAAACAGTGCCATGTGAAAAAAATTGGAGAGAGTAAAAGATCTGTGGCAGGAATATGTAGAGGTGAGTAATATGCAATTCAGTATTGTGCACTGCACAGAGAACTCACAGGTAATTTCATAGTGGGTCTATATTGAAATATACAATGTTGTATTTTTTCAAAGAGTTTTGCAAATGGATGTTGATGCAATGTCACATGAATTTATCTTCATAGATGAGGCTGGGTTTAACCTGACAAAAGTAATCAGAAGAGGGAGAAATCATCACTGGCCAGAGAGCTATTTTGAACGTCCTGGGTCGATGTGGTGGTAGCATCACAATGTGTGCTCCAATCAAGCAGAATGGATCCCTCCACTGCTATGGGAACTTAAGTCCTTAGAATACAGCCCACAAACCCGCACTTTTAGACATACTACAAAATTTCGTCACAGTAGACCAAATCGATGCAGAGCAGATGAGATATATTGTCATCTGGGACAATGTATCTTTCCACAAATCTGCTCTGGTCCAAAACTGGTTTCATCAGCATCCACAGTTTTCATTCCAATACCTCCTGCTATACTTTCCTTTTCTTTACCCCATTGAGGAGTTCTTTTTGGCATGATTTTGGAAGGTTAATGATCTACAGCACTATGTCAGGATACCCCTTATTCAAGCCACAGGGGAGACCTGTGACCAAATTGATGCAGAGCCTGTGCAAAGATGAATTTGTCATTCAAGAACAATCTTCCCTCTTTGTCTTGCAAGAAAGACCATAGCCCGTGATGTGCACAAAGTTCTATGCCTAGATCCAGCGAGGAGAAGAGATGATGCTAAGGCAGGGGTGGCCAATCTTATCCGCAAAGGGCGGGTAAGATGTGTGTGTGGGTTTTCGCTGCAGCTCCCTAATTATATTACTAATTAGAGGACTGATTGGCTGAGGAGTCCTCACATCTGGGTTTGAACAGCTGACCTAAAGGTTACCCCAAAAACCTGCAAACACACCGGCCCTTTGCGGATAAGATTGGCCACTGCTGTGCTAATCTTAAGTTCATGCATTATTTTTTTCATAAATACCATGTTCTTTTTTGATTTTCAGTGCAAAATGCAACCTTTGGAAATGCATGTATGTACTGACTAATTTTTTATGTGGAGAGAAATTTTTTCCTTGTTGTACAGTACTGGTCATTTGTGTTGTGTAGTCAATATATATTCATGTGATTTACTCTACCAATAACTCTGAAATTTCAAACCCAGACTATATCAGTAAAACTGTAGAAATGTTACAAGTATTTTAGATCAAGCACAGCACTCTGTGGTTCAAACAGAATAAGACCCTATGAACCATGTATGTGCAATATGGTGACAGGATTGGATTTTTATAAATTACTGTATGGTTTTAAATGAAACATTTCATTTTGCAAAAGTTCTGAGGTCTTATACTACTTGTGTGTATGGCTGTGTGGATTGTGTGTAGTGTTTTAACAAAATGAGCCATTTTCAAACTTATGCTTAAGCAATCATAAAAAACTACAAATGTAGACCTGAAATGTTCTTCAGCAAAAACTATTTAAAAATCTCAGTAAATATCAAATCGGCTGCGAGCTGCTTGTCTGTCATGCCCTGCTTGTCCGATCCGCCTGTGTGCCACGCCCCCTTGTTAACCTTGTGTGGAATCCTGCTTGTTATCAGCTGTTTCCTGTTATTCCATTGAGTCCTGTGTACTTCAGTCCGCGTTCAAGTCCGTTTCCCTAGGTCTGTCATTGAAGTCTTATGGTGTAGTGCTGCCTGTGCGTTGCGTGTTCCATGTCCTTGCTCCCTTTATCCAGTAAATCCCGTATTCCCCAGTCCTACCCGTCCCTCTCCTGCTTCCCCGTTCCGTGCATCGCGCCTGTTCATGTCAATTATCCACTATCTAGTGGCCTTAGTGACAATATATAGTAAGCACAATATTACCAAATACAATAAACAAAAACACAAAAATATTTTTTGATTAACGGGCCGGTTAAAGCTGATTGGCAAGCCAGATATGGCCCACACATCATAGCTTGCCCAACCTCTACTGGACTGGACAGTATCCATCCATTCATTTTCTGTACCTGCTTGTCCTGTTCAAGGTGGTTAGGGCCTGGAGCCTACCCCGAAGGCTATGGGTATAAGGCAGTGAACAACCCAGGATGGGGTGCCAATCCATTACAGGGCACACTCACACACCATTCACTCACATATACACACCTACAGGCAATTTGGTAACTCCAATTCACTTTTGCATACCAGTCACTGCGCCATCACACTGCCCCCAAGTGGACACTACAATTATAAAACTGATTTTATATTCCAATGGCTTTGATAAATACTATTGGACAGTATAAACTGATAAACATGTATCAATCTTCCAACAGCTTCAACAAATGTAACAAATTTCTGTATATGTTCAAGTAAATGAAAATGGTGACTGCAGGTGAAACTCTACCAATAGATATCTGGTGTTCATCATGGCAGGGTTTATTTATTTAATAAGTGACTGACTAGGGAAAATACAAATACAAAATGCTTAAAAAGAAAAAAACAAAAAAAAACAAAAATGGCACATAGCCATCAAGGTGCAGTCATGTGGTTCCTCACCCTATTACAGAATGGTGGTTGTTTGGAGGAACAAATGGTTCTGGTATGTACAAGCAACCTATATTAAGGTATTCAGTCAATTACTTGTCATACGACACTTGAAACTGGACAAAAGTACTAAAATATCAACTAAAGAAAAATAAATTTTACACCAGTTCCCGATCAGGAGTCAATGTCAGTTTATGCTCATTGTCTGCTTTCCTACAGGACAAATTTTTCCAATAAAACAATATAAAAAGTGTACGCACTCCGGTTAAAATGTCAGTTTTCTGTGATGAAAAAAAAAATTAACCATGATAAATCATTTTAAAACTTTTTCCAACTTTAATATGACCTATAATATGACCTATAACCTGTACAAACCTATTGTTTACAACTTTGATCTGAATCGTGAACGCCGACCTAAGAAATGAGTCACGCAGCACGTCTCTCAGGAAACAAAGGGTAACGCTTCAGTCAGCCTCGCATTCGCTGTGATGGCATCGTGCATGTTTACACTATAGCTGAATACATATATTTAGACTGTAAAAATACATTTAGACAATGATAGACAATAACAGTAATTATTATATAATAAAATACATTTAAAAATAAAGATTCCTTATTAATATTAATAATAAACCATTACTACATTTGATTATAATAATATTATCGTGCCGAACCGGGACTGAACGGAGACAAAGACAGACGTCAGGGTATCGGGGAATACGGGGTTTAATTACAGGTAAGGCAGGCAAAATGCAGATGGACAATACAATGACCGGACTGGGGAAACAAACTGAAACGCGGACGAAATACAGAGGACAAATGACAACAACCAGAAACAGCTGATCACACAGGGATTCCACACGGGGTTAACGAGGGGGCGTGGCACACGGAAGGAGCAGACGATTGGAGCAGGACACATTGTTTTTTTTTAACTTTACACATTGGATACATTTATTTTCTTACTTTACAAATTACTGTTTTGATAAATGTCCTTAGATGTGTTTAGTATAGTATATGCTCTTCCTGTTCATTTTGTGTTTAAACGCTAAAAAAAAAATATTTAGGTGTAATTTTTTGGGGCCAGGAACCAATTAATTGGTTTTCCATTATTTCTTATGGGGAAAATTCGATCAGAAACCAAACTTTTTAGGATTCGTTCTGGAGTTCTGAAAGGATTAAATTCGAGTTCTGAAGTACCACTGTTAAAAAAAAGGAAAAAGTTCTAAAATGATTTATCATGGTCTCATTTTTTTTACATGGCAAAAACCTCCCAATTTAACAATGGTGTGCACACTTTTTATATCCAGGGAACTGATTTTTTTCTCTTATAAAAAGCTAAACATGAATTTTAAAAACTGGTGTAAAGCAAAAACAGTAAAAGAAACATTTAACTGAACAAACTAAACACGGCTGAAATAAGGAAATTTTGACATTTTAAACATCAATGGAGCAATCTTAATCCCCTTGGATTACTATTAAATAAATTAGCCCTTAAACATTTAATTAAGCAGTTGGTAAAACAGATGATAAATTTTGAATATAATCACAAATTTTCAAAAAGACACATTTGTGAAAGTAGATCATAATGGAGAAAATGCTGTACATTCAAGAAAATGTTCTGTGTACCATTATGCAGACCAAAGAGAACAGTATATTTATATTTATAGTTGCTGGACAACTTGCAAATCATAGAAAATGAACTTGTGAAATTTTTGCCACAATGGAACAAGCCTCACACTAAATTCTTAATAAAAAGCTTAAGTTTTATACTAAATAAAATAAGTACATTTGTGGGCTGAAACCAGATTGTTTAGAAAGTTTTACCATCATGCAGTTCATAAAGTACATGAAATAAAAATGAATTGTGTGTGTGGGGAGTGGGGGTGTTATGCACCATAAAGCAGTTAGTACATGCATCTTGAGAAGTACTATCATACTAGTATATCAGTATTAGTTATCAGACAGACCCAAACATTTTATTAAGACAGCTGTTATCTCTCAAAGTGAATAGAATATTTTAAAGTGATTATTTATCAAAATGCTACGCCTTTTCCCCCATATCAATTCATTTTATTTAATGCTTGTGTTAAAGTATTAACGGAAAATATGTACAAAAAATTTACCAAATGATGAATCACACACACACATAAACACACACAAACACATACCTGTCAAAAAGCATATCATAACCATCTTTTATAGAAAGGAAATGTAAGAATTTCACATGTGTACTTGCAGTGTACTTCCACAGGATGGCACACTCATATAAATGCAGATTCCATCTACTTCAGTTTTCACTGGTGGTTCCAACCCCCGACTCCTCTGTCCTTTAATGAGGTACTTTCATGACAGGTGTCACACTGCGGGATCAATTTATTTACCGAGGCAGTAGTGTCGCAATATCTGTTGTACAAAGGAAATGTAGAATCTAAAGAATATCTATGTCCAGACTAAAGAAATCTAATAAGATTCCATACAGCTATATTATAAGCTTCTCCTGAGTAAACCTTTTCTTATAAGGACATATCTGCCTTTCTTGTACATCGCTTTGGAATGTTCTGCTAATATTTTCATTTTTCATTGAATTTCAGCCAGCTATATGATACAGTGTGAGTTGAACCTGTCATAAGTTGTTGAGACCTCATATCACTTTTTAGAAATAGTGATCAAAAGCAGGATATCCCAGCAACTTCATTTCAATACACAAATCCTACGTTTAAACAATTCCACTTTTAAGTCAGAGTGATTTATTTGTGCTTTGCATGTCAGCATATGTTACTGCCCTACCTGGTTATAGATGAATACTAAGCACTTCTTCCTTAAGAGACTCAATGTCCTCCTCTGCAATATCTAAGAAAAACAAAAGAGAATGAAAAACAAAAAATGTATAGTTAAAAATACACTAGGAGGCGTGTTTTTGCCTAGCATCCTTATCATTGACTTTAAATAAATCATTATTGCAAATAACCCATAAGATGCAAGAAATGACAAACAAATGACATTAGGAGTGTATAAAATGTTATGCATATCAATATATCGTCACTTTATTTTAGAATTAGAAAAGAAATATTCATTCAGCCTCCACCCATTTACCTTGGGCAGGACAACTGAGGAAAAAAACGAGACACAATGGTGCTATCATTCTTAGAATGTAGGGTTTTTTTTAGATTTTTTGCATTCATTTGACTTAAACCATTGTCTAACTCTTAAAAATAAAGTGAATCCAAAGGCAAAAAAGTTAAACTATTTAGTGTCTTGCTTTCAGTAACTGGTCTGACCCTTTCTGTTAATTATTTCAGTGATTTCCAGCATTTTTTCTGCTTTACATAAGGTAACTAATAAGCTACAACAGATAATACTTTGATTGATTATTTATTGTAGCACCAGGCAGACCGAGGCATCGCAAGAGTGGCAAATAATGAGGAGACTTGCTTGCCGGGAAGAACGTGTTCTCTTATTACAGTCTTTACCAGGACTATAACAGGCACCCAAGGAGCACCGAACATATCAAACATACTAGGGAACCACAGGGAGGTCAGACGCTGGACTGTAAGGTGCAAGGGATCGCAAAAGTATTGCAAGGGAAAGCAAAACTATTTCAAAAAATATTATAATACCTGGCAGACTGAGGCACGACACACGAGGATCGGACAGGGTTCACATAAGACATGGGCAAACGTACACGCCACAATCAGGAAATACAACTATTAACAACAGTACAATAAGGGGCTATTCACAATTTCCTACGTGCATGCCAAGATATGCTAATCCCTGTTGGCTCTACAATATTTCCCCGCCCTGACCCTTTAGGGGCTCAGTAGACGGCAGCAATAAAATCACAACAAACATTCTAATGTGCTAATAGGCTACAGTGACACTTTAAAATTTGAATGGATTAATTATAGTCCGAATATGAATTTTTCACATGATCAAAGGAATGTTGAAATATCAGTTAAAAAGTCACAGCAACATTAGGAAGCTGCCACCATTCTATAGCAGGGCTACTGCACAGAGCAATCCAAAATGGTTTAGGCTGAAAGCAGGGGTGCATGCGGGGTCTCATGAGGGGATGATGGGAGGGATTCCCCTTGGTAAAATATAGTCAAATTGGGTTCTCAATAAATTGTCGTGAATTTTGCACGATCGTCTCCCTTGATACATTTTGCAATGTGGCCCTGGGGTTCTGTATGATCTTCATCATTTTGTGGAATAAGGGGACAACTTCACTTTGTGTGAAACTGTCAGAGCCACATGTGCTTAATAACATCATGCAGTGACCTGGGTTTTCACCTGTAGTTTTTGTCTTGCCAGGTATCTCTGGATCAGTACCATACTGAGGAGGAAAT